ACCGATTTTCATTATTCTGAAATCAATACTACATAAGATGAATCATGAATGTGAATAGATATGACACATGCCAGTTAGTAGATTTTTCACCAGAGGCGTCTCGATTTCAATGTTGTGGATTAGCAGCGTGTGCCCAAAAAGGTATCAATGAATGCTACGTGCTTTATCTACTAGTTTGCCTATATTCTGAGCAACAGTTTAACAGATACGGCCTTCTCAAGAGGTTTTGAGATGTCGGTGGAGAAAAAATTGTCTCTAATTTTGTGAGAGAACTTTTTTTTTATTTATTTTGTTTTGTTAATTTTTTGTTTGTGACATTCAAATAAAGTTAACGTTCATATCAGATTCATTCTTCAGTGTTAGTTTACCACTCCGGGCCACTGTTGCAAATCTGCAACATTCCAGAATTCATTGCATTGCATTGCAGGTCTCTCTCTCAAAAAAAAAAGTACTGCCCCATATGATCATTTTCTCCAAATATTAGATTCTTCCTGCGACTAAAACTTAATTTGAGCCTGAGAGGGTTATCTAAGAATATGTACAGATGATGGCTGCTTTTTGCTCTGTTGGTCACATAACTTCTCCTTCTCCACGTGGAGCCTACACTGTCTTTGTTATTATTCACTGCTGGCTGCTCTGACAGCAAATCCCATAATGCTTTGCATGGAAAGCTCTCCGTGCAAAGCTTTCTGAGATATATCTGCCTCCTCTGAGGCCTTTCTTTTCTTCTCATACACTTCATAGACACTTTTTCTGTTACGACCCTTGGCCATTTTCAAAGAACCGAAATGAGAAAGGTGAGCTTCAATGACTGTTTGCAACCGTAGCTCACCACAGATATACGCCTGAAAGCACAGAAAAAATAGCTAACGGGACAAGCACGTAGGACGGCCTTACGTAAACATATCACCAGAATGATTGACAGTTAGGAGGACCACTGATTTAGATGATCCATCCGGAAATAAAAGATCATCCTCTATACCTTTAACACCAACAAATTAAGTCCACATGTGAAAAAACAATATGCAATCCCAAAATAAAACTTTGAAAAACTATTTAATAAATACATTTGTTTTTTTTTCTCAGATTTTATTTTTTCAAAAAAAATATTTTCATATTTTGTATTCAAATGTCTTTATTCAGATTGAGATTGAGTTTTATGAAGTGATATTGTAAAAGAAAAACTGTTAAAAATTTGAAAATATAAAAATATGTGAAAAAAATAAATAGCAATTAAATAAATAAAATTTAAAAACAAGTGTTTAAAGAATTATTTACAAAAAATAATCTGAGAAAACAGATTAGATTAGATTAGATTAGATGAGCTTAATGGATCTCACAGCGGAGAAATTCACTGGTCACATAGTTCTTAAAGAAGGTGAAAACAAGGAGGAAGAGGTGCATTAGGAGTAAAAATAAATAAAAATAAAATAAAAATAAATAAAAAATAAAATAAAAATAAGAAATAAAAAAATAAAAAAATACAGGGGAGTAACATTTTAGTAACAGCAGCATTGCTCTCAAAATCTTATTTTTCTGTTAAGAAGCTTTTCAAAGTTTGATTTCTAGATGGCTCTTTTTTTCATTTCCATTTCTGAAACATGGGCCGTTTCTCAATTCACAAGAACACGAGTACAGATTCGTGTTCTCGCCAAGTGTGTTCTTGAAAAGAACACAGGAAAGTGTGGACTCTGGGAGAACGGGAGCATGCAGCATAAATCTGGGTCAATTGGAGCAGAAGCGTACTGATGACATCACCACACACTCTGCTCGTCTGGAGCTGCATTTCATCTCCTGTTATTAATAGTCTCTAGATAATAATAAATTCTTACTTTTTTCATTTAGTATACTCTGAGCTCTGTTAGCGCTCCATTCTATTATGCTGCTGCCGCAGTGCATGCTGGGACAGCTGTCAATCTTGAACGGACAAGTCTGCTCTGATGCATGCTGGGTAAATAGGGAGAGGAGAGAACAACATCCGTTCTCGGTCTTGTGGTTCTTGTGAATTGGAACAGTACTAGGCCTGAGGCTGATGACGTTTCACGAGTACACAAGAACTCACAAGTACACATACTGAGAAACGGCCATGGTCTGTGCGTACTACAATAATGGACCAAGATTCACTCCATAGTTAGACTTAGTTGGCCTAGTTTGTTGTTTAACAAGCCAACTCTGCTTTAAACAAACCTGCTTTAGACAAAGTGGATTTTATTTACTTATTACATTAATCCTTAATAGAATCGGTTGCACTATATTTTAACTGAGCTGTAACAACTAAAAACAAACACATGGTTTATTCTGTTATAAAATTCTATTAGGATATGATGTAGCTTTAGGTTGTAAAATGGGAATATGTGAAAAGAACCTTTGTTTAGTTAAATTAGACTAATAATAGTGTCTAATTAGTCAATCCAGAGGGGTTTAAGATCATTCTTTTTATTATCAGAACATAAGGCAGTAGGAAGGCTTGTTCCGGCTGAATCTGTCGCATCACTGAGTAAACCAGATGAAAACACTGCAGGGGTTTTCTTTTTTATGAGGCCTAAAATATATTACTACTGCAGGAAGTAGAAAGCCAGAAGTGCCTGCAGAGAAGGATCAGGACGGGCCAACACATGGCCGGGGTCCACCTTTTTTTTTATCTCAGCAGGACGTTTAACATCCACTTATCACCTTGTTATCACAATCTGCTGTCAGCAAACAGGAAGTTGGTGTGAAAATGTGAGGCCAAATGGTTCGACTGCAGTTTTTTTTCTTTTTTTGCCTCCAGTCCTACAGCCTAATTGTTCATTTCAAGTTACCTCTCCCCCTCTATGCATCAACAAAGGATTATTTTAAACAAAAACAAAACTTTCTGTTAATATCATCTGCATATTTTAGTTTGCTCCAATTATCTTTTCCAGTTTCCTTATTTCATATTTTTGAGCAGTATATACAAACTCCAGTAATTCAGAAATGAATCACCTTCGCTCATGGATTATTGCTGCATCAGACCAAAGAATGTTTAGAAATGCGTCACAGACATGCATGTGACTCCCTGCACATGTTGCCTGTGTGTGCGAGGGTGCAGACTCACCCAGCGATGAAGAGCTCAGAGCCATGACCCCGTAGTAGGAGAACGGGCCGGTCTCAAACTTCATGTTCTCATTTCCAGCTTCCACCTCCACCCGACCCTAAAAAACACAGAAACATTTCTCTTACTGGCCTGTTGAGGCAGCGGTGTAGCTCATCTGACACTCCAGATAAAATATGTCTAGATGCTACACACTGAATAAGATGTTCTTCTAGGTTGTGATGATGCAAAACCACCAGGAAGCAAACTGGCTTCTCTTATTTCTACGATTATTTCCAAATCAATGATACAGAAAGAAAGATGGGTTTATTTCATCCATGTATGTGTGTGTGTGTATATATATATATATATATATATATATATATATATATATATATATATATATATATATATATATAT